CTCGTACCATATTGCCTTCACCGTGGTCTATCTTCCAGGTTGGGTCATTGGCTCAATTATAATCGCAAGGGGCGTCTTCGCAAACACAAATGTCGCCATTGTACTCATCTACTTCATTTTGTCTGGTATTGCTTTGGCGTCGCTCTCCATCTTAGGCGCCTCGTTTTTCAACAGATCTCAACTTTCAGGTGTCGTGACAACAATAGCGTATATCCTACTAGCAATCCTAGCTCAGACGTTAACCTCGCCTAGTACTGCTACAGTCACAGCGCTTAGTTTGCTCTTCGTATGTTTCTCTGACAATCTCCCATCCCCTCAAAAAGATAATCACCAGAGTCAACTTCTTTGGAAAAGCCAATCGGCCAGAGTTTGCCACCCAAGTTGTGTCTTATACCCCTTACCCGGTACATTTTTTCTGGGGAAAATAGCTGTTAACCACCTAGTATTATAGACACCGTGTAATTTTGTTTGGTATATGACTTTCATAGCGAGATACGAACGATTCTCATTTCCAGCAGACTTGGTGCGAAATCCACCTGAGAATCCATGGAATTTGCCTGGCATCGTCTTCTGGGTGTTTCTTATTATCCAGATTTTTGTCTACCCTGTTCTCGGCGCCTATCTCGAGCGCGTGTTCCACGGCACAACTACTAAAGGCCGCACAATTCTCCGAGGTCAAGCTGCTGAAACAGCGCCGCATGATGCCGTTCGCCTGGCAGGTTTTACGAAGATTTATTTCCCCAATCCTTTGGTTCGATGGTTTCCCTTCAGTTCGAGGCCGAAGGAACCGGTTGTAGCTGTCGACAACCTGACCCTCACCGCGAGAAGGGGGCAGATCCTAGCTTTGCTCGGAGCCAATGGCAGTGGGAAGAGTACAACACTTGACTCAATTGCTGGCATTAGCAAAATGACTAGTGGAGATATCACAATCGATGGAACCGGGGGCTTGGGTATTGCGCCTCAAAAGAACGTTTTATGGGACGAATTGACGGTTGAAGAGCACATCCAGATCTTCAATCGACTGAAATCTCCGAGGAATGTCGCACCCGCACAGGAGATCCATGATTTAGTCGTCGCTGTGGACCTTGGTCCAAAGATTAAGGCCATGTCCAAGACCCTATCCGGTGGCCAAAAACGGAAGCTGCAGCTCGGAATGATGTTGACTGGTGGAAGTGCCGTTTGTTGTGTCGACGAGGTCTCGTCCGGAATCGATCCCCTTTCTCGACGCAAAATCTGGGATATTCTGCTGGCAGAACGTGGAAAGCGGACGATTATTCTTACAACCCATTTCCTCGACGAAGCGGATCTTCTTGCCGATCACATCGCTATTCTCTCCAAGGGCACTCTGCGTGCCGAGGGATCTTCCGTTGAACTCAAGGACAGGTTAGGTGCTGGATACCGAGTCCACGTTTTTAACGCTAGAGATATCAAAGATCCTCCAGAGGTTCAAAATGTTACCCGTAAGATCGGTGTTGATGTGATTAGTTACATTGCGCCGTCCTCGAGACTGGCTGCAGAAGTAATACGCTCCTTAGAATCCGCAGGTATACACGACTATAAGTTTTCCAATCCGACCATTGAGGACGTTTTCCTACAGGTAGCCGAGGAAGTTAAAGGCGAGACTGCCATAACATCACAAACTCCACCATCTACAGAAGCCAGCAATGACAAGCAGGTGAGCTCCTACGATGGCCTTGGAGTCGGCGAGATTGAGAAGGATAGATTGGAATTGCTGTCAGGACAGCCAATTGGCTATATGAAGCAGACAGGCGTGCTATTTAGGAAGCGATGCACGATTCTCAAGACAAATTGGTTCCCTTATGTGGCAGCCTTCCTTATCCCAATCATAGCAGCGGCTCTCACATCACTCTATGTTACGGATCAACACTCAGTTGGATGCAACCCGGCTGACCAAGACTATTCTGACTCCTCGGGTACCTCAGATCTCTATAATGATCTGTTCTTAGTCGCTGGCCCGTCTGCGCAAGTCAGTAGCCCTGGCGTGCAAAGCCTTTTCGTCCCCATTCTCCAGGGTCAGGGTCAAGGCCAGGACGAGAGCCAGGAAACCGACAACACGACCACCGGTGGTGTGTCGAATACAGAATCCACGTTCTTTGAGAGCATGCACCTCGTCGATTCTCTAGCCGAATTCAACAGCTTCATCCAGCAGAGACGAAAGGACGTCAAGCCCGCCGGTTGGTGGCTAGGTGACGGTAACTCGCCGCCCACTATCACATACGAAGCAGATGAAGGAGACGTCATAACCTCCATCTTTGGTCAGAATGCCCTAGATATTATGCTAACCAACACTAGCATCGCTACAAGTTATGCTCCTTTTGCTACACCTTGGGCTCCCAATACTGGAGATTCCTTGCAGCTTCTCATCTACTTCTGTCTAGCCATGTCCATCTACCCTGCTTTCTTTGGCCTCTATCCAAACATCGAGAGGCGACGGAACGTCCGCGGGCTGCAGTATTCGAACGGGGTGCGCTCTCTACCCCTCTGGGCTGCTTACACGGTATTCGACTTTGCAATCGTTCTTGTTTCCGCCGGGATTACTACCGCCGTGTTTGCCGCACAATCGGATGTTTGGTATCATGTTTCGTATCTCTTCGTCATCTTCATGCTATACGGCCTGGCATCTATCTTGTTGTCGTATGTTATCTCTCTATTCTGCGGTAACCAGCTGTCAACGTATGCTTTCTCGGCTGCTGGCCAAGCCGTCGGCTTCCTCGTTTACCTGATCGCTTACTTGTGCGTTCTCACGTACGCGCCGGTCCAATCCATCGACCAAAACATACAAGTCGCCCACTACGTGATTTCGGCCTTTATACCTATCGGCTCGGTCGTTCGAACAATGTTTGTAGCCCTCAACCTCTTCTCGGCGACCTGCGATGGAGACCAGGTTTATAGCAATCCCGCCGCTCTAAACGCCTACGGTGCGCCGATTCTGTATTTGGCCGTGCAATCCGTTCTTTTATTTGGGTTTTTGTTGTGGCACGATAGCGGCGCCGGACGCACTCTTTTCACTCGTTTCACGCGAAAGGCTATCCCGTCCTCCAAAGATCCAGCGGCTTCGGATGAAGAGGTAACCAACGAGCTGGTACGCGTGACTAGCACGCCGCAAGAAAGTGACGGCCTCCGGGTGCTGCACTTGACCAAGACTTTTGGCAAAAACACCGCTGTTGATAATGTCACATTCGGGGTTCAGCACAGCGAGGTCTTTGCCTTATTGGGACCTAACGGTGCTGGCAAATCTACAACCATCTCGTTGATTCGCGGTGATATCCAACCCAGCTTCAACGGAGGCGACGTTCTCGTCGAGAACACGTCCGTCAGCCGTCACCGCGCCCGAGCCCGAGCCGATCTTGGCGTATGTCCTCAATTCGACGCCATCGATTCCATGACAGTACTTGAACACTTGCGCTTCTACGCGCGCATTCGAGGTATCCCGGACGTTGAGCACAACGTTCGGGCCGTTCTCCGTGCCGTAGGCCTCGAGGCTTTCTCCACTCGCATGGCGCACGCCCTCTCCGGAGGTTCGCAGAGAAAGCTAAGCCTAGGCATCGCGTTGATGGGCAATCCCAGCGTCGTCCTTCTCGACGAGCCTTCCTCGGGTCTCGACGCAGCAGCTAAGCGAATTATGTGGCGGACGCTACGCTCGATTGTGCCTGGCAGGTCCATTCTTCTGACCACACATAGCATGGAGGAGGCCGACGCACTGGCTAACCGCGCGGGTATCCTGGCTAAGCGTATGCTAGCCATGGGCACGACCGAGAGCCTGCGACAGCGTTTCGGAGACGCGCTTCACGTGCACCTCGTCAGCAAGACGGCGCCGCACTCCTCGCCCGAGGAGATGGAGCGCATGCGCAGCTGGGTCGTAGACACGTGGCCCGGCGCCGAGGTCGAGCAGAAGACGTATCACGGGCAAATGCGGTTCTCGGTACCGGCCAGCGCCGTAGTAGCAGAGGGAAGCGCGAGCGCGAGCGCCGTCGGCCGACTCATCGTCATTCTCGAGGAGCACAAGGAGGAGCTCGGCATCGAGCACTTCTCCTGCACGCCGACGACGCTAGACCAAGTTTTCCTGACGATTGTAGGACAGCATAACGTTCAAGAGGAGGGTTATAACGAGAAAAAGAAGAAAACTTGGTGGAGATGGGGGTCCTAGAGGGGATGCATATGAAAAAGTACATTTTTGCATGAATCAGGCATAAATCGGATTTTTCCAACTATTCTAGAAGATATACATACATATGTTACATAGAGGTACGGTAGGAACAGTTCTCCTACTTGGCATATGGTGCATCGGAAGGGTACATACATACACTGTAGATAGTGTAAGGTCGGTAGATAGGTATGTAGGTAGGTTTGGCTGTATTATAATTTTGTATCTTGCAATATATAATTTACCAAAAGGCAGCTACGCATAGCATGCACTTCTCGAGCACTTCAAATTCTTTGTTACCAATTTAGGTCATCCTATCTACGTTGGAAACCCTTGGGTATCTAGGTGTGTAGGCAGAGAATTCCAACATCTCATAATACCACCTACCATATATCCTTAGTATAGATGACAAGATTCTTTCGTCATCAAAATCTTCAACACCAATACTCAAAGTCAACAGTGACTCTAAAAATCCATCCAGTAGAGGCCAAAGCATTATTTGAGGACAGTGCCGAGGTATTCTCGAGGCTTGGCGCAGCTTGATGGTACCCAAAAAATCCAGATCGACACAACCACTCCCTCTCAACTCGGGCTGTCGGGTTGATAAGGGCCTATAAATCGCTGTGTTCACATCGCAAAGTCCTCGTATTATATATAAGTGCCTTGATGGTTTAATTTCTTACAGCCCCATCTCTCTCGTCATTTGGTTCGGCGCACCTCTGGGTGTCACTGCTTCGACTTTCGACTGTGAATTGTGCCGTGTCTAGCTAGCACTTGTCCTCACTCATCCTATGTATGGGAAGGAAAAAAAAAGGGAAAAAATATAAAAAGCAAGGGGGTCAGCCGGGGATTGAACCCGGGATCTCTCGCATGTTTGCAATCTCTTTGAAAGAGCCCAAAGCGAGAATCCTACCACTAGACCACTGGCCCCACTTAATCGGATATGAGACCGGGGTTGGTTGATGAAAATCGTTGCAAATGGAATATATAACGATATGAAATTAGCGTTGATTGGTTCAAACCAATGATTAAGCAGCCGGGGTTTAACCATCCTATGATGAGTCAGTCGCTTTTCTATAATTGAGCAGACTAGCGCATTACGTAATCAGGTTATATTCATTACCTACATACCTAGGTACCTATGTTGAGCATTCTGTCACACTGGTGTCGTACTCTATGTGTAAGAAAGTATAATTGTGCCAGCGCAGGACGATAAGAGGCCTGACCCGGTTCTTATTTAAGTGCAAGGTTAGATCAGGGGCTTAGCAGCGAGGACGAAGAACCTGACGTGATTGCAAGCACCAGATTTCAGCAGTCAATCTTACTTTTGATGACTTATACATCGTATACGGCTGGCACCGTGGAGATCAAGATACGAAACGTAGACAGGTTGGTAAACAGGTATAGATGCTTATTGACTTCTCCCGCCTCCTATGTGGTCGTCTAGCCAAGTTGCAGCCAGCTCCTCCCCTTTGCTTCTGAGTTCAAGGTCACCAGTGTTAAGCCCTGTATCGTGAACTTGTACTCTTCTAGTAGCTTCGTCATTCCAGCCTTCGAAATCCTCGTCCCACTTGGAGCGCTCCTTTAGTTCAACCTTGTTGATACTCCTCTGCATCAGACCGGCAAGCTCGTCGGCTTGCGCCCTAAAGCTGTTTCCTAAGTAATCCTTTTTCCGTCTCTGCCGTCTTCTCTGCAACGAGGGCGGTAGTGGAGGTGGTGTAGAATGTAGCAACAAAATCTCCGGAATCTTTAGTGTCGACTTCCTGGGTGGAAAGACAAGCGCGCTCTTCCTCGGCGGCTTTAATGGTGCCAATACGTCCTGTATATCGTCTGCTAGTGCAGATAAATCCGGCAGCAGCGTCTCCGGTGCGATGGCAGATGCGTCGAAGGATGGAGGCACGAGGAGACCCGGGGTATGGAAGAAGAGACAGGGACTCGCAAAGGGATCGAAGAGGTTATCAGGTCTTCCGAACAACGCCCCGGAGTGTTGCTTCAATTCTAAGAAGTTGGGCTCGTCCGGTCCAGATAGGATTTCTTCCAGTATGTTCATCGAACGTAGCTTCGGCATCTTATTGATCGGATGATCGGGAAGAAACATGGTCCAGTTATATATCCCATTATACGCGACACACCCCCGAATGCCCATCCGCTCGTGGGGGTGGGTTTCTGTCAGAGCTAGCGACGTTGCGAGTGATGCGCCGAGATACGATCCGTAGATATACATGTCCCGGCGCGTATAACTCGACGGGCCAAGGTTCTCGACAATCCAGTCGTACGCTCTTGCGGCATCGTGAATAGGAGCTGGCCAGGACAGGTGGGGGTGTTCCACTCCCGATTGCTCGTTAGACTCCGAGGCGCGAAAGTCCTCAGCCTTGAGAGGAGCGAACCCGGCCCAACGATAATTGATCACAGCTGTCGGTTGTCTCTGGATGAACCTTGGTAGCTGTACAGGCCTGCCCGTAAAAGCTGTTGAATACGGCGGCAGGTATATCAATAAGGGGTCTGCTGATGACACCTTGGCGATATTGTGTAGACTATTTTGAGGATTAGATTATAGAAACTAGCCGAATTGCGAATCTTACCTTTAACTTACTCGATGGTGATGATGCCTGATGAGCCATTGCGAATACTCACTCGTTCCACGTCGTTGACGACAGTGCTAAAAAGTCTTAAGTTCCGGCCATGGTGGCGACCAAATACTGAGCTCCTAGCCGGAATCCATCTTCTCATCTTCTCGGCATCACCCCTTTACGACCCTGTACTCACGAAAGCCTCGATTCAATCAACAACTTGAATTTTATCATGAAACAGAACAATATTATTCAACCAACGATTAGAGGTGCATATCGTCTTCAGCTCTATCGGCGTTAGGTAATGGGCTTGGAATCGATTGAGAAAAAAAGGTGGTATTTAACTTGTCGAGCGCGGCTTTAGCGAGATGAGCTTAGCATGCAGCTAGCCACCAATCACTTCCATGTCATTCTAAAAGGTACCTGGGTACCTAGACAAGCTTGTAATGAACATGCTCCTGCCAATACTAAGATCATTTTTCCTTAGGAAAGATATTGAAAACTACCTACCTAAACAAGAAAAGAAAAGAAAAACGAAGAATAGAATAATAGAAAGACGACAACATCGAATATCTGCAATAAAACGAAGGAGAAGGTTAGGTATTGGCGCAAATGTTGTGCAAATTATTCTATTTTGACACTAGCTTGTCCCATGATCCTAGTACCCCATATCCCAGCCGGGTCCTGACAGAGCCTACGGGCCCAGCATGGTTCCGCGATCCAATGCCTAGCGACGTCATCCCACATAGATGTTCACACCAAGATGGGCCGCCTGACTCGCCTTTGTCTCCAATATTTTCGATGGAATATATAACATATTCTGCACGATTGTGCTTGGCAGACCTAGATCACGAATTCTATGTCTCTCGTTGTCTCACAAGAGACTACCAATGTTACAAACTGTGGCTTATACACTCTAATCCACTAAATCGTTGCATCGTAATGCTTCCCATAATTACTTCAGTTCTGTTAGCAAGACATTAAGATCGAAAGGCCATTGGTCTCGGCCATTCTCCCAGTATCTCGAGCATGAGGGGCTACTCATTAGCGTGTCGAGATGGACGATGGTAATTTAAACGAGAACATCTACGAGCAAGCACAAGCCGTCGATGACCCGGGCAAAGACAAACATGGCCAAAATGCGATCATGAATGAACAAGCTCATTTGAGCCCCAGGTTAGGAAACTATCCCTTGGTCTACATCTGGGATATTGAGGTTGGCTGACTTGATATGAACATAGCCGCTGGTGGTTTGCCTCTGCGGCGTTTCCTATGATAGCTGGCACCCTGGGTCCGGTAGCTTCCGCCTTCAGCATTTGCGCGCTGGTGAAGAACTGGAGACAACACATCCCACCAGGATCCGATGTCACCAAGGCTATTTTCGTGGAAGATCCCTCGTGGCTCTTAGCTGTCAACGCCGTTCAACTCGTAATTGCCCTAGCTGCAAATGCGTTCCTCTTGCTCAATATGACCAAGAGGGTGCGGTTCTCTATCGCGCAGCCCATAACCATCGTCGGTTGGTACATATCGGCCATCTGTCTCCTAGTCTTGTGTGCTACTGCGGGCGGGCCTCTCGTCATCGAGCCCCAGATCGAATATGTCTGGTCTCAAGCCTTCTATTATGGCATGTTTGCCGCTATTCTCTACTTCATAGTCGCTTCCCTCATGGTTGTTACAGTCTGGGGTGCTCAGAGAGGCCACTACGACAAGGATTTCGAATTAACGATGAGCCAAAGGACATTGATGCTTCAAACTATTGTCTTTCTTGGGTACCTGCTCCTAGGTGCTCTGGTTTTCTCGAATATAGAAGGGTGGAGCTATCTTGATTCCGTATACTGGGCAGATGTCACCCTTTTCACTATAGGCTTCGGTGACCTCTCCCCCCAGACTAGACTCGGTCGTGGTCTACTAGTACCGTATGCGCTAGTTGGCGTCATCAGCCTGGGTCTCGTCATTGGGTCGATTCGAAGTATGATCCTTGATCGTGGCAAGCATAAACTCAACGCGCGGATGCTAGAAAGGCAGCGACGTCTTTTGATCCGACGTATCAGGCACAAAGGCAATGGCCACATTCTTGAACCCATCGACGGCGATGCTTCAGATGATTTCCCTTCGAGCTCCCAATGGACGGAATTCGAGAGGCGCCAAAAGGAATTCCAGTTAATGCGGAAAATCCAACGTCAGGTGCGTGTCCAGGAATCTATTCCTAAATCCTAGTCTTCTCATCATGGATTAATACTACATTATGCACGTACTGATTGGGCGCAGTAAGTTACGAACGCCCCTTATTTCTACATTGTTCTCGATAGGAAATTGTATGAAGCGAAAAGCCCCACGGATTATTCACATCCTCAACCCCCTGCCCCCTAGCTCCTCTTTCTTTAGAATCGAATACACTTAGAGTGTAAGCCTTCCCTGTCAATTTTAGGTGTTAATAAGAAACAGGGCATCCAAAAGAGAGAGGTGGACCGCTATGGCCGTATCCACTAGCACATGGGTTGTGCTCTGGTTAGTAGGAGCAAAGATATTTCAAGAGTGCGAATATCCGTATCAGGGATGGACCTATTTCGATGGATTCTACTTTGCATTCACAGCCTTAACAACTGTCGGATATGGTGATCTTACCCCACAGTCCAACTCGGCCAAAGCTTTCTTTGTCTTCTGGTCTTTGCTCGCCTTGCCTACGATGACAGTTCTCATATCGAATGCTGGGGATACAATTGTGAAGGGTGTTAAAGACGGCACGCTCTTACTCGGAAACATAACTATTCTTCCCGGAGAACATGGATTTCGAAAGTCAACGAAACAAGTGCTAGCAAGGCTATCCTGCGGAGTGTTGTTCGTAGATGAAGATATAGAAGAGACTGCACCAGGTTTCCTAGGAGCGGCGAATGAGCATAGAGACCAGGATGATGACAACGACGATGAAGAAGAAGAGGAAGCAGGATCATCCAGATCAAGCGACGTTGCAAGCGAAGTCGACAACTTAGAAAGCAATCGCAGAGCCCGGAAGGATGCCGAAAAGGGAGAAGCAGGACCAGGACCAGGTTCACCACCAGGGACTTCTGCGCCAACTAAGCAAGATACGAACATATCAGCATCTACATTGAAATCACCTGCCAGAGATACAAGACCAAAGTCTCCCGGTCGCGTTATACCTACCGAACTACCTGAGACTCGTGCCGAATATCATCTTGTCTTGATCGACGAAATCTCGCGTGTGACACAACACCTACGGCACTCACCCCCACGAAAATACGCCTTCAAAGAGTGGTCAGTAATCCCGAGTAATTTCCCCTTTTCCCCGCAGTCCTTCCAGTCTCCCAAGAGCATTGGACGGTGAGAAGCCAATAAATGCGC